TCTGGGTGCTGCCAGCTGCGCAGCAGTCGCCGCTTGCGTGATCTTCTGAGGGGTCCAGAGGGGTGCGGCCTCCCTCCTCCCTCAGAGCAGAACTGGATCTCTCTTGTCTGGGTGCTGCCAGCTGCTCAAGTGTCACCGCTTTCGTGAGCTTGTGAGGGGTCCAGCGGTGCTGGCCTTTTCGCCTTTCTGGGTGCGGCCTTGCCCAGAGCGGAACTGGCTGTCGCGACTTTTCGTGACTTTGTGAGGGGTCCAGCGGTGTGCTTCTTTCCCAACAGCGAGACGGGACGTTGCCCACTGCTCAGCTGTCGCCGCTTTCGTGACCTGGTAATGTGTCCAGCGATGTCTGGCCTTGAACAGGGTGGAACGGGATCTCGCCTGTCTGGGTGCGGCCTTGCCCAGAGGGGAACCGAACCTCGCCAGTCTGACTGTCACTGTTTTCGTCCCCTTGTGAGCGGCCAGGGGTGTGCTGCCTTGTCCAGAGCGAGGCGGGATCTCGCTTGCCTTGGTGCTGCCAACTGCTCAATTGTCGCCGCTTCGGTCGGTGAGCTTTTGCGGGGTCAAGCGGGTTACGGCCTTGCCCAGAGCGGAACGGGACCTCGCCTGTCTGGTTGTCGCTATTTTGTGACCATGTGCGGTGTCCAGCGGGGTGCGGTCCTACCCACAGTGGAACGGGACCTCGCCTGTCTGCTTTGTGCAGCTGTCGCCGCTTTCGTGACCTTGTGATTGGTCCAGCAGGATTTGGTTTTGCCCAGAGCGGAACGGGATCTTGCTTGTCTGATTGCTGCCACCCGCGCAGTCGTCGCCACTTTCCTGACCTTGGCGTCAGCGGTGTGCGGTTCTACCCGACGCGAGACGGGACCCCGCCCGCTTGTCTCTTGTCTGTTGTTGCCAACTGCGCAATTGTCGCTACTATTCATGATGGGTCCAGCGGGCGGCCTTGCCCAGAGCGAACTGGCACCTCGCCTGCCTGGTCGCTGCCAACTGCACATCAATCTCCACTTTCGTGACCTTGTGAGACGTCCACGGTGTCCTGCTTCCCACAGCCGTCGTCGTTTTTGCGACTTTGTGAGGGGTCAACTGGTTTGTGGCCTTCCCCAGGGCGAGGTGGGACCTCGCCTGTCTGGGTGCTGCCAACTGCGCAGCAGTCTTGTGAGGGGTCCAGAGGGGTGCAGCCTCCCTCAGAGCAGAACTGGATCTCTCTTGTCTGGGTGCTGCCAGCTGCTCAAGTGTCACCGCTTTCGTGACCCTGTGAGGGGTCCAGAGGGGTGCGGCCTTGCCCAGAGCGGAATGTGACCTCGCTTCTTTGGGTGCTGCCGTGGGGTCCGACGGGGTGAGGTCTTACTCAGAGCGAGGCGGGACCCCGCCTGTCTGGGTGGTGCCAATTGCGCAGCAGTCGCTGCTTTCGTGACCTTGTGAGGGGTCCAGAGGGGTGCGGCCTGTCTGGGTGCTGCCAATGTCTCATCTGTCGCCACTTTCGTGACTTTGTGAGGGGCAGAGCGGAATGTGACCTCGCTTGTTTGGGTGCTGCCGTGGGGTCCGACGGGGTGAGGCCTTGCCCAGAGCAGAAGGGGCCCCCGCTTTTCTGTGTGCTGGCAACCTGCCTAGATGTTGCCCCTTTCATGCCCTTGCAAGGTGTCCAGCGGGGTGCGGCCTTAACCAGAACCAAACAGGACCTCGCCTGTCTGGGTGCTGCCAACTGCGCAGCAGTCGCCGCTTTCGTGACCTTGTGAGGTGCGGCTTTTGTCTCGGTGTTGCCCACTGCGCAGCCGTGGCTGCTTCGTGACCTTGTGAGGGGTCCAGATGGGTGCGGCCTTGCCCAGAGTGACCACAGAGCGGGCTGCCAACTGCCCAGCTGTCGCCATTTTCGTGACCCTCGAGGGGTCTAGAGGGGTGCGGTCGTACCCAGGGCGCAACGCTACTTTGCTTGCTTGGGTGCTGCAAGTTGCTCACTCGCCGTGAGCCCGTGGGGTTCCAATGCGGAATGCGGGCCTACTCTTAAGTCGGACATGTCCCTCTACAGGAGGAACATTCAAAAGCAGTTACAAAATCGTATGGGGACATTGTTTTGTTGACTATTTCTGAGTATGTTTGAATCTTGTTTTGACTATTTTCCACTTTTCCTTCACACTCCGCCTGTAGGAGGACATGCCCGACCTGACCTTGCTCAGAGCGCAACGGGGCCCGCCTCCCTGGGTGCTCCTGTCTAGTGGGGTGCGGCCGAGCGGGGCCCCGGCAGTTCAGGCCTCGCCTAATATGGGTGCTGCCAACGGTCCGATTGTCGCCGCTTTCGCTGCGCCTGTTGGGGGGCCTCGCGGATTGCGGTCCCACTGGGGCCCACGCGAAACCTCGCCCTCCGCGGTGCTGCCTAGTGCGCGATTGTCACCGCCTTCGTGGGCTCCTGGGAGGTCCCGCGGCGGGAGGAGGTGTTAATGGCGATTTTGGTGATGGTGGTGATGATGGTGATGATGGTGACGATGGTCAGGATGGTGATGACGATCGC